TTATTTGTGGTTACAAAAAGTAAATTTTACTTTATGCTGTACCAGTCTCAGTCAAGAACTAGACCAAACTAGCTCACTAAACAACTATTATTATCATGCAATATGTAAGAGGTTTGGAATGTACAGTACATAGATTGGAGTAGTGATATTTTAACAATGGATAAACTATCAAAATTTGTTTTGAACCCAAATAATACCCCCCCCCCCCCCCCCAGGTGTATGTTATGGCATTTTCATTTTCGGCTCATTGTCTCAGGATAGAAACCGACAGGAAAAATAGTATTGAAAGAAGTGATTATTCAATTAATTATTCATTGTTAATGACACAGTCCCCGTCCAAAATTTTGTGATCTGACATATCAATTTGATGCTGATGAAGTCATTGAGATTAGATTGAAACCATTAATAGGAGATGGATTTGTAAAAAATTATGATTTAGTGCTTTTACACAAGAATTGAACATTGGGCAGTCATATCAAATTACAAAAATTTAAACAGAAATGTTCATTGCATTCATGGGAAAGTAGGCATGGGTATCATGAAAAACAAAATGGCCACCAGTCAGCCATATTACCGTTAGTTTGAATCACAGAAAAAATATGACATGCAACTATAACCCAATATGTATGATTACCATACCAACTTTGATTAAAATCGACCTAGTCATCTCTGAGAAACAGTTTCAGACATGTAAAAATTATGATTTTGGGCATTGGCCGACCATATTGAATCGAATCACAAAAATAATGTTGGTGCGCATGTATCCCTAGGTGGTATACTATTTTTGTACAAAATTTAAAGAGAAACATTCATTGCATTCAAGAGAAAGTAGCATGGGTACCATGAAAAACAAAATGTCCAAATCACTGAAAAAATATGACGTGCACCTATAACCCAATATGTATGATCACCATACCAACTTTGATTCAAATCGGCCTAGTCATCTCCGAGAAACAGCTCCAGACATGTAAAAATGACGATTTAGCACTTTAACATGAAATTTGGGCGTCAGTCAGCCATATTGAATCGAATCACAAAAATCATGTTGGTGCAGATGTATCTCTTGGTGTACTATGTTTGTACAAAATTTAAACAGAAACATTCATTGCATTCAAGATAAAGTAGCATGGGTACCATGAAAAACAAGATGGCCGACAGTCGACCATATTTATTTGAATCACGAAAAAAAATGATGTGCACCTACAACCCAATATGTTTGATCATCATACCAACTTTGATCCAAATCGAACCAGTCATCTCTAAGAAACTGCTGTGGACACGTTTAGATATCAGAAATAGCAAATTTTACATCCAAAATGGCTGCCAGTCGGCCATCGTTGCTCCGATCACAAAGTAACTAGACACGCATAATGTATTGTCTACATGTAAAGTTTGAATGAAATCCGTCAATGGGTGTCCGAGATATAGCTTAGAACGTACATATGTCTGAATGGGGACAAAATAAATATCATTTTTTTGAGGTTATTAGGGAAAAATACATTTCAAGTAACATTCTACAATCCATTTTTATCTGATATTTTAAAATCTTATTAATCAGTATAAAATGTCAACTATTAAAAAAAAGTTTAATTGTGTGTGACTAGCTAAAATTTGGTTGATATCGCATACTAGATGTTCTCCAAGATCTGACAAGTGTACCAAACTGATGTGATATTTTCATTATGAATATAAAAAAAGTGTAGTTTTTCTGCTTTTTCAAATTTGGCAAGTATTTTATTTAGTTTATAATATTTGTTTTGCAAAACAAATAGTATAAAATGTTTGCAGATACATTCCTAAATTTGTTTATTTTACAGAAAATACATCTATATTTACAAAGTTTGTCAAAATATTTACACCTGTGATGCAACAGACTGTTGATGAGGAAGATCAGGAAGTTGAAGCACAAACAACTCCCAAAGTGACATTGAGGAGCATTCAAACAGAAGAGAAACTGCATTCATATTATCTAAGACAGACACCAGAACGTAACATGCAAGCTGACAAAAGAAGTAAACATAAACCATTGAAAGAGAATGTAACCGGTTCCCAGCTTTCTTTATGTGAGCTGGCAATTGAAACAAGGTATTAATTGATTCATATTGCTAACATGGCTGTCATGGTTATTATCTGCATTCATTGATTCATATTGCTAACATGGCTATTATCTGCATTCATTGATTCATATTGCTAACATGGCTATTATCTGCATTCATTGATTCATATTGCTAACATGGCTATTATCTGCATTCATTGATTCATATTGCTAACATGGCTGTCATGGCTATTGTCTGCATTCATTGATTCATATTGCTAACATGGCTATTATCTGCATTCCTAACAGTTTCAAATCAGTATTGCCAGCATCACCTGTTCATCTGCGTCATCTTGCTGTACCTCATCGACACAGTCCCAGATTCAAAGCTGCATCTCTGTCACCATATGCTTCTAACAAACGTACTACAAAAAACATTTTCAATATTCCATCAACTCGAAAGTTGGTCAGCAGGTAGGTATGTTTTTTTGTAGTGAAGATTTACAAACCCCCAAGTTAATATAATTTTAGAATAAGTCCTGGGCATATTTTGGTTCTGATGACCTGACAAGTTCATGTATTTCTCCTATTTCGGGCAAACATGGTTACATTTTATTTTGATGATTGTGGTTCCAGAGCTATATCACATATGTACAGTACTCATTTCGCCCAACCTCCCGCCGGATTTCGATCGCTTTTTTTTCGCTTGGTTTGTTCAATTCGACCGCGCAATCGCTCGCCTGACAA